TAGGCCATTTGAACACTTGGTCCCCAGTGGGTGGCACTGTTTGGTAAATTTAGGAGGTATGGCCTTGTTAATGGAAGTATGTAGCTACAGGGGGGCTTTGAGAATTTATTATTTGAATTTCTTTTTCATTTCTTTATGTGTATGAATGTTTCGCCTGCATGTATGCCTATGCATTGTGTACACACAGGAACTATAGAGGCTAGAAAGGCTCCAAATCTCCCTGGAATTGGAGTTACAGACTGTTGTGAACCACCATGTCGGTGCTAGAAATCAAACTTGAGGCTTCTGCAAGAGCAGCCAGTGCCTTTAAGTCCTGGGGTCATGACATTTCCAGTTGCTTTCTCTACTCATGCTTGTGTTTTGAAGATGTGAACTTTCAGCTTCTTGCTCCAGAAACTATGCTATACCTCTGCAATCATGGACTCTCATCTCTCCGGAACCGTGAGCTAAAATAAACTCCTTCTTAAGTTGTCTTGGCCACAGTGTTATCATACCAGAAAAGGAACACAGGTTCTGGGGATTGAATTCAGATTTCCAGGTTTATAGTAGTATATTATTTGTGTTTTAATAAGTAAAGCTTGCCTGAAGATCAGAGGGCAAAGCAGTCATACTAGTCAGCCATACAGTTCAGGAAATGGTGGCACACTTTTAATTCCAGGATTTGGGAGACAGAGGCAGACAGATCTCTGTGGCTACCCTGGGCTACACAAGATCCAGAAACAGATCCAGGTGATGGTGGTGTACATCTTTAAGCCCAGTGTTTGAGAGTCACACATTTTTGTTTTGTTTTGTTTTTGAGACAGGGTTTCCCTGTAGCTTTAGAGCCTGTCCTGGAACTAGTTCTTATAGAGCAGGCTGGCCTCGAACTCACAGAGATTGCCTGCTTCTACATCCTGAGTGCTGGGATTAAAGGCGTGCACAAAAAGTGTGTGCTAGGAGTCACACACTTTTAATTCCAGCACTAGGGAGGTGGAGACAGGAGTGATATGGCTGGACAGAGAGAGGACGATAAAGGGGAAGAGACAGCAACTCAGTGGAGTGTGGAGTCTGAGGATTCATGGAGACAGGATCTCGCGCCTCTGGTTGGAAGATTTGGTAGAGGTAAAAGATTTCTCTAGAGGTTGGTTGCTTTGCTTTCTTCAGGTTGAACCTCAGTATCTGTCTCTGGGTTTTTACTATTCATGCTACACAGCTTTGGACGGAGCCTTTTTCTGCTGAGCCATCCCACTCACTACTATCCAGAACACTGTACTTTCTAATGCAGTATTAATAAAAGCTGGGTTCTCATTTAGAATTGATAAAATGTTCTACTTTGAAGATGTGTATCTTGAAAAGATGAGAGATTATTTTTCTTACAGCAACTGGAGAGTCTCTGCATGTCATTTACATAACATCATTGAATTTTATTGTGCTATGCCAGGGTAAACAAAACCTAACACCTGGAAGGGAAGGAATGAACTGATGCTTCACATGGCAATTTTAGAATGTCAGCATGACAATAATACATGGCAACACAGAAGAGCTGCCCCCAGTTGGCAGATGTCCTGACTCCCTTGTCCACTGTGTCTTACTGATTTTCCCTTAGTATGGGCTACACTCTCATATTCAAGTGTGCTGTAGTATATACTGTTTGAGGCAGTGAAGAACTGCCTTTAAACAAACATGCTTAAAAAAATTGTTGAATCAACCAAAATTACTCCTGACTTTTATATGACTTTACAAATGAGGGCAGGCACACCTGTTTTACACACTATTATGTCCTAGACTGATATGTCTTAGATGGTTCTATGGCCTATTACCTAGAAGGGCAGTGTTCAAGGATCTCAGTGATACCTCCTCACTTAGTCCCCAAGAAAATATATCCAGGGGAATGGAAGACTCATTTTGAATGGGACAACTTCTAGATTTTATGATGAACACACTTCTTAGCTCCAAGTGACTTCATTTCCATGTTTAGAGAATGCAAATCAATGAAGCACTGAGTAGTGAATCCTAGTGAGATATCAGAAAAGCTGACGGATCAGTCCCACATGAATTTGTATTTTCCTAAGCTTCTTAAAAATTATAGTGAAACAATCTTTAAAATCTTGCATCCTTCCTTAGAAACATGGGGTAAAGGCCAAGCATGGTGGCACATGCCTTTAAACCTCGTACTTGGATTTCTGAGTTCAAAGTCAACCTGGTAAACAAAAAATTCCAGGATAGCCAGGATTACACAGGAGATTCTTGTCTTGAAAAACAAAAACAAACAAAAAAAATCAGGGAAAATAATATGTGGTAAATAAGGGAGTTGGTGCTACATGATGTTAAGGGTCAGAAAGATGATGAAAAATCCAATAAGGAAAGCCAGGAACCTGCTTTTTCTCTAGAGATGTTGTCTCAAAGTCTTGAGGTCATTCACAATGAGTTGGGTCAGGAGCAATGTCTTCCTACTCCAGGCCACTGGAGGACATCTAAACTGGAAAACTCCAAACACTGCTGACAGTTTGGGTCCCACTTAGTCTTAGAGGACACACCCAACTGATACTGTCTCCCTGTTTGACACTCAGCATGCAGGGAGATGAACCTTCACCCACAGGCAGATAACAGAGGGGTCCCCACTATCCAACTGGAAAGCCCTAAGAACTGACTTCCGGGCTTTTCAACAAAACCAATACACTGCCCTTCCATCTACGTTCAGAGCTCCCAATTTCATGAAACTAAAAGTCTGACATGAAGAGAGAATTAAAGGGGGTACAAGACAAATCAAAACAAAGAAAAAGAAAAAAATAGAAAAATTTAAAAATTAGCATACGCAGGGAGTTAAGCAGCCATCAAACAAGTTCTACAAAAAATTCAGGCTTCTGGGGGGAGGAATAGAGGATAGAATAGAGAATAGAAGGAAATTTAAGAAGGATGGCAGCAATCAAAGAGTAAAAACTAAAGGTGAAGAAATTTCTCAGAAACTACAGTAAGAAAGAAAATTAAACAGGGGTGGGATTAGAGCAGAAGGAAGGCAGCAGGACATCCCTCCCCAGTGAAGTCTCCATCTCTTTCATTCACTGGGTTTCCAAGATCAGTAACTTAGAAACTGGGTTTCTAAGATTTCTTAGTGTGAAACAGGCTATATTTAATGGATTAGATGGGGGGAGGTCCCTAAAAGTACAAGACAGGAATTTCCATCTAGAAAGGTCCTACCAAATGCACACAAAAACAACTGAAATTTTTCTATACACCAGAAGCAGAAGATTCTAGAAGCTTGTAGTGTTTAAAAACCAGAGATGCCAGACCAGAATGTCCTCAGACTTCTAAGAAACAAGATGGGAAAGCAGAAGACAATGGACAAATAATTTCTCACCTAGAATGTATTCCCAGTCAAACCCTTAAACAAGCCTAAATGTAAACTGTGAGCATCACTTGCAGTCTTTAGGGGTCAACAGTAGCTCTTCGCAGAACCCTTCAGTGATAAAGCTACTGAAGGAAGTATGGCCCCTGAGCAAGAATGAAGGCTCTGCAGGTTGCCTGTCTAGACTGATAAAACCAGATACCCCAGTAGTGGGATATCATGTGCAGGAAGAAGGTATTCTCACCAGGAAGGCAGAGGCACTCCCAGAATGGCAGCTGACTGTGGGAACCTGCCCTCCATGATCCTTGAGGCCAAAATACTGGATGCAAGTAATGTTTACGCTAACCAGCTAAGCTTCCTGCTAGTTCCGTCCTTGGTTCTGCTACAGCCTGGTACATTAGCCTGAGGGATCTATTTTACTTTAAAATGGTAATTTCTCAACCTGTCTCAAAGAAGCTCAGGCCCCAAGGCCCATCTAACCTGTCTGACATTGCCTTAAACCCTCGACCACCTGCCTGGGGAAAAACTCCCACAGAGGCCAGTTTCCCCAGCCCCCTCTGGGTGGGAGGAGTTTTCCTTTACTGGGGCCAAAGGTATTTTAACCCTGGATTTAGTTGAATAAAGGGGCATTCTCTTCTTGAGGATGACTGGAACTCTGTATCTGTGTGTGTGCATCTTGTGCTTTAACCCCTAGGACAATATGGAACTCGTGGGATGTGGGTGGCGTGGAAGGACGACACCTACAGCTGACATCAACTCTCGATTGACTAAGGGGCTCTCAAAATGAATCTGATAATTAGCATCCAGTCCAAGCCTAGTGATAGTGACACAACTCCAGAAAACACAAAAGGTGAACTGTTTTTACAAACAGCTACATGTAAATAAGTACTGGACTTGGGGGAGGAATGCTAGGGAATCTTTGTGGCAGAATTTGTTTAAAAGATGGGTTGCATTTGTTTATGTTGCAGGATATTTGTTTAACTATGTGAAGATGTGCTGCATTTGTTTAATTATGTAAAGATGTGTTGTGTCGTTTTCCCTGCCTGCCTAAGGTAACTGATTGGTCTAGTAAAAAGTTGAACAGCCAATGGTGTGGAAGGAAATATGGGCGGTTCTTCCAGAGAGGGAGAGTAAGTAGAAAGAAAGATTTAGGTTTGGGGAGAAAGAAAAGGAGACAACAGTGAGTCTCCAGGGGCCAGACAGACAGCCCCGAGGCAAAACGTAGATGAACAGAAACAGGTTAAATTAACTTTAAAAAGATAGTGGGACAAGCCTAAGCTAAGGCTGAGCATTCATAATTAGTAAGTTTTCGTGTCTTTATTTGGGAGCTGGCTGGAGACCCAAAGAAAAAAATCCAACTACAAGTACTGCAGTCTTTCATAGGTCACTTAGAATTATACAGGTACAGTCTGTAAAAAGAGAAAAGGAAAAAAAAAACCTGTATAATCCCAGCACCAGAGGAGCTGAGTGGGGAGGACTATAAATTGTAGGGTAGCCTGGGCTACACAGTGAGACCCTGAAAAAAAAAAACAAAAAACTAATTTTCAGAAAATTTCCCTGCCTTCCCAATCTTCTGTTGTTTTCTCATTCACAGTACCAGTTCTTGAAATGTGATGGTGGCAGACATTGGTGCCACTAACTCAAGGAGGAGGAGGAACATTGAAGAATTGAAAAGTACTTTGAAATAGTTTTATTGGCTCATAAGACCTTTGCATATAAAAAAAATACCCAAATCACTATGCAGTATTAAATCACAATTACATTTTCTTTTACCAATTGGGACTACCCAGAATATACATTTTTTAAAAGAAAAAAAAGCCTACTGAACAGAATTTTGAAATGACATAATGACTTAAATACTATGACAAAATAGATAATTCCTTATAACATTAAGTAATTGCACAAAGCTGCCAGGTATTTTCATAAGCATAATCATTGCACAGAGTGCAAATGAACACAATTTCAATGGTACACATTTAGCTGAATTAACCACCTCCACCTATGGAACTCTTAACATCTGGCACAAAATGTTGGTCTGTTTTAACTTTTCCCAGCCAACTATCTCCAAGACTCAGCGACTTCTGGCCTTCCTCAGGTACAAGCATCCTACTCATAGCCTAAAAGTCAACACCACCTCTGCTTGAAGAAGTCAATTCCTCTTAGCTCCTCAGGCAAGTAGTCCTGGTCCACAGGCTCACTGTACATGGGGTTGTACTTGTAGCCTTTGCCATAGCCCAAATCCTTCATCAGCCTGGTGGGTGCATTCCTCAGGTGCAGGGGGACGGGAGGCAGGGGCCCCTGATGATTCCGCAGACAGGCCTTCACGTTGTTGTAGGCACTGTACACCTCAATGGATTTGGGGGCTCTGGCAAAATACACCACACACTGGGCCAGAAGCACCTAGGACACAGAAGAGCATGTCATAAGGAAGATGCCACAAAGTTTATGTTTGGCACAGTACTTTATGATCTCTACTAGTTAATTCTTAGACGATTCCCATGTTTGTTTTTAATTTAATTTTTTTCCACATTCTTTCACTTAGTCTGGACAATTAATTTACAAATGTAGAAAAAGTCCTATGAGGTGAGAGGGAAGCTGGACCAGTGATTCTCATTTAACCTAAGAACTTCTCACTAAAGCAAATATTTCTTAGGTACTAATTCATAAAACAAATGACTGGAAAAGCTGTCCTGCATGGAGGTTAACATGCAATTTCCTGTCCCTAGAAAGCCTGGAGACTTCTGAGCCTCAGGACTCCTGAGGACAGTTTGAAAACATGACCTTGTTTCTGGTGATAGTCCTATAATCTCAGTCACTCAGGAGGCTGAGGAAGGAAGGTCTCAGGTTTAAGGGCTAGAGAATGGGCTCAGAACAATTTTGAGCAACTTATAAGACCCTGTTTCAAAAAGTTAAAACAGATACAACACAGTGGTAAAGCATTTGACTGGCACATATGTTCTGTACAAATCCAATGTTATAAAAACAAAGTCAAACCACCTCATTGATAGGGAAGTTCTCATTTCTCTAGGAAGTTAATATTCTATGAAGTTCAAAAGCTAAGAAGCTTGCTCAGTGGGCTAACATACCAGTGATGAAGGCAGGAATTACATTCAGATCCACAAAGGACAGGACACAAAACAAAACAGATTTGCAAAGAACTCACTTGGTATCTTACCTCACATTCGGGCATGCCTATGAAGTGACAGCCTTGGTAGGCAGCAACTGCTTGTGCTAATGCTGATGGATCTGCCAAGCCTGTCACACATAAGGAGACAAGGTAAAGAAGTTTAAGTCACAGCACTGTCAGTGTGCAACCAGTAACCGCTATTGCATGCAAACTTAGGAACAGAACACCCAACACAATTACACCAATTTACCTCTGATATCCAACCACATTAAGCAAGAACTATTTTAGAGCTACTGTTGTTGTCAAAAATGGTCTCTTGTGGATAAATACATTCCAGTAAGAAAACAAAGACTACATACGACAAACAGAAGTGCAAAGGTCATAAAGTCATCCACAGGATTTTATGTAAATGTAAACTCTAGAAGATTAAGAAGAGGAAAACTTTTCTGATCTTTGTCTTAAATGGTATCTAGAATCTTCCATTTCTATCACAGGAACTATCCAATAAAAACCTTAACATTTGGCTGCAAAGCTAACCAGAAAATCATCTTGTATTTGGATACTCTGAAAGTTCTTGAAAGATCATTCCCAAAGGAGAAACAGAAATGGTAACTCTCTGAACACAGTTAAAGCTCATGCTCATGAAGAAACAGACCACTGGGCTCATGACAATTCTTTCCTTTTCTGCCTACTCTGCATGATTCCATGACATTCTTGGTCCAAGGGTAACATATACCAATTCTCACAACCCCCACGGACTCTCTTCCACTCACCAATGTCTTCGCTGGCAAACCTCACAAGTCTCCTGGCCACGTAGAGTGGGTCCTCCCCTCCCTCAAGCATCCGTGCCAGCCAGTACAGGGAGGCATTCTGGTCAGAGCCACGCATAGCCTTGTGTAGAGCAGAGATGCAGTTGTAGTGTTCTTCTCCTGTACACCAGAGAGAACACTGTCACATGGCTACCTTGTGTGCCCACCTGACATACAAAGCAGCACTAAACAGGCCCCAGGTATGTTGGGGAAGGCAGGCATGACAGCTGCCCTAGAGGTGTATTCAGTGAAGTGAAACCTGGATTAGCCCCAGAGGAGCTCACTCAGGGCCCCATGACTGTTTCATAGCACAGTCTTGTTCAGAGGAGAAACTCCTGGTGGTTGTACACACTGCCAGCACAGAGACATAGCTGGCATAAGGAAGGGAGACATAGAGGACTGTCAGAGACGAGAGAGGTGGGACAGAGTCTCATGTCCTGGTTTCATCTTCTGCCCCCACAGTCTATTTGAGTAAAAGTGACTGGGCATGGTCAGAGGTATCAGAATGGAGGCAAAGTAGCAGGGACAGCTGTTAAAGCCCATTTGTTTCTCAGTGTCATTGCCAGCTGACACCCTGGTATCTGAAGCCCATGGTCATTAAACCGCAGACTGTGAGGACACTTGTGAGGAGACTGGCAGATGATCTAACGGTTCTTATCCTGAAAGTACTGTAGCTCCATCCTCACCACTGGCCTCAATCCATCCTTAATCTTCAATTCACAGTTAAATCAGCAAAATATACTTTAGAAAAACCATTAAAGCACAGGAAATTAAAGCTAACAGTAGTCAAAAATAAGCAGTGCCCTGTAGACATGTTTCATGCCTTTCTGACCATCCTTTCATGTACATTTAAGGACATGACACCTGAGAAGGCAGAGCACACTGGTCCTAAATCTTTACAGAGAAACACCTGCTTTGTGGTCATCATGCGTTACAACAATGTGACTGTGTTCTGGTAGGCACAGCACTGTGGCTCCAGGAACAAATCCCAGCAGCTGCTGAGATAACATTTGGTCTTCAAATGGAATGACAAGAAACTGGTCTACCAAAGAGAAAATAGCTGTTAGGCTGATTGAAGGGCTCCAAAACTCCAATTCCCAAGGAAACCCAAGCTAGATCAATGGCAGTTACTAAACTTTTATGAGTAAGTAGTGTCCTTCACCTGGGGCTTTTCCAGTTAAGTGAGCCATGAACCCTGCCTGGATGAAGTGTCCTGGATGGAAGTGATCTACATGGCTTTGGCCCCTTTTCTGCCTCTTCTCTACAGGGCAGGGCCTAACATTGGGAAGGAACAGGCAGCCACCTCTAGCCTACTACCTATCTTTAGTTTCTCATCTTTAGTTTAAAGGTTTCTCATCTTTACTGGGTTAGCACAGGATATATCAACTGGTACAGTGAACCAAAGAACAGGCTCTGGTCCAAGGTAATTTGGATTTGAACCTCAAACTCACTATCAGTGCAGACTCTGGAAAATTTTCTACGCTTCGGGATTCTCACTGGGTAAAATGGGATTGTTTTAAAGACACAGGCTGTGTACAGAGCAAAAACTACAGAAGAACTAACTATAACTGCTAGCATTAATCACTAGCTTACATTAAAAATAATTCCACTTTTGCTTTTATGATATACTGTCTGATAATTGGAAATTTCATATTATTAATCTAAAAGTACAAAGTCAATACAGGGCAGACCATTTGTTATCACTCAGAAGTTTTTTCACTCTGATGTAGAAACATTTGAACTACTTACTAGATCCTACTAGTGGACAACTGTTTTATTTGTGACATTAAAAGAAATAATAATAAAAAAATCTCTAATGGTAAGGTTTTTTTTTTTTTTTTTTTGTCTCATCAGTTATAAAAAGTCTCAAGAGTCTAAGCTAACACATTTCCAGGGCAATGGTTCTACAGTTCTTATTTATAGAGCAATCAGTAAAAGCACATTTCTTGAGAATGTAAATTATATTTATGTGTGTCTGACAATCCCCTGTGGAACAGACATGTTGGCATGGGTGGGCAGTGTGAGCATACTGGTATTAGAAGGGCATGATGCATGGGGTCCTCAAGGTTGTGCCCCCACACAGCTTCCACTGCCTTCAGCTCCTCCTAGGTAAGGGAAGAGCTAGAAAGATGATCCCTCATATACAGTTCCATAAGGCTAAACACCTCCAAGAGCAACTCTTCTCAGTAACATGGTCTAGGTAGAGTGGCCTTAGAGTCTCCACAGAGGCATATGCAGGCAGTGAGAAAGCACAATGGGAAGTAGTTAAAACTGGATTTGAGGATCAGTTTTTAGCACATGCTTTTGAACTGAGAATTTTATGGGAAGTAGGGATAATATTAATAAGCTACCTTCTAAAGTTGTTTTGGAAATCTAAAAAAGAAAAAACTGAAAGCACTCAATGGTTATTCATAAACATTCTATGGATTTTAACGTGGTAAGTGTAAGAGATGGTCCAGTCAAAGGAAAGGCTCTTCTGGGACACTCACAAGGGGGGGATGAAGGCCACTGCTACTGAGCCTCCAGAAGGTGTGAGAATCTGTTCACTTCTGAAAAATGTTTGGTTTCTTCTCATTCCATTCTAGTATTTGGCTGAAAGCAAATATGGAGCTATGTGTAGATGTTTTACTTCTTAGGCTTCTCAAGGACTGCCAAGACATTCAATGGAGAGCATGTGAAAAGGCCCCTGGCTGAGGCCACACCCAGCACCACATAGGTGGGACAGGGGTGTTCAATGTGTCCTTAGCACTGTTTTCAACACACAGCACTATCAGTGAGGGGTGCTTTGGTCACTCAGGATGTGCAGCCAGCTCACTCATTCATGAGAAGCAGTGGCCAGGACCAGAGTCATTATCCAGTCCCTCCCCAATTCTCTAGCCAGTAAGAAGAACACTTATCATCAGGAAATACCAGAATGGAGACTTAAGTCAACGAGACCTGGAAGTCAACCTCTGTTTCTGGCAGGACTTTTAAAGACATGGACATAGTTATACAACATGATACTACTCAGTCACACAAACGTTCTATGATGCAGTTCTGCCTGATCTACAGTAAGTCATCCTCACTTCTACATTTAAAAAAGCTGCAAATATGCTGTTTTTATGATATTTAATAAGCTCACAGATTTAATAAGAATTGGGGTATTTGCTATCTATAAGCATGTTTATATACAAATACTTAGTGCACACTGCAAAATTAACCATTTTGAGGCTATTAGAAAACAACCAAAATCCTTGTAAATTTACCTTTCAGATGAAAAATGGAGGATTTCAACTCTCAAATAAACCAGTAAGTCTTGACTTACTTACTGACTTTGTCTTTGTATGACAAGAATCATTGTCAACTGAATTCATATGCTTTCAGACTGCTATGTTCTACCAAGTGCTACCAGACAGCAAGGGGAAATCTGTATCTAACAACCTTACAAGATGAAGCCTCCAAGTTCAAACTCCCAAGTTCTTCTTGATTCTTAATCAAGGCAGCTTTATTTTATGCTTGTTTTCAGAAAGGTCAGCCCTGTGTGTGAGGCTTACTTCTATTATAATATGCAGATCAAATTAAGAATCTGGGGTATGCTTTGGGCTGGCATAAGATTACAGGCTGGAAATGAGCTGCAGGCATACACTTGTTCCCGCAGTTCTACGGTTCCCCTATCTCAATTCCTCACCTGCGCGGTCATATAAAATGTGGGACCGCTGGAGGCCTTCTTTCACATCATTCTCAGTGATTAGAACTCGGCTCGGGGAATAGGTTTGACCACTCTTCTTACAGAACATCTTCCTAGAGCTCAACCTGGCCAGCACTGCCAGTTGCAGTCCATTCAAGCCAGTCCGTGCATCACCATCACTGAGGTAAGCCAGAGTGTCCACTGCTTTATCTTCTATGAAGACAGAGGGCCTGCAACAGAAACCAGGGTTTGTTATCAGCACATTCAAGTCACACCTCGTTTTGCAGCACATATTAATTAAACTTTAGCTTCAAGTAAGCACTGTAGTTCAAAGGTTTTACTACTTACTCTGAATTCATATTAACTAGATACCTAAGCATTTTTTAGACTAAGAACTGACCAGATTTCCTAAGTCCTGGGGGTATGCCAGTATACTTTACCAGTCAGAAGCTACAGGGTATCTCACTCTATCTCACAGGGTGAGGCAATCACATTCTATCTTATGAGCCACAGAAGACCACACTGCACAAGTTCCTTTACACAAGCTTGTACAAGGTAGGATAAAAATGCTATGCAAAGTCAATGTGACAAGTGGGCTATATGTTTTTACCCTATAGAACAGTGAAAACTACTAGACATGCTAGTATGTCACTGTGGTGATATTTTGTTTGTGTTCTAACAAATAAAGCTTGCCTGAAAATCAGAGGGTGGAGCTAGCCACTAGTTAACCATAGAGGCCAATGATGGCACACACCTTTAATTCCAGCACTTGGGAGGAAGCAGGAATATCAGGAGTTCAAAGCCACACTGGGCTACACGAGACTTGACCAGTCAAAAAGAGAAACAGAGTTCACACCTTTGATCCCAGCACTAGGTAGGTAGAGACAGAAAATGAAATGGCTGGGCAGAGAGGAATATAAGACAGGAGGAGACAGGAGCTCAGCCTCTTTCAGGCTGAGGACTTGGTGAGGTAAGGCTGTGGCTTTCTCCTTTGTCTCTCTGATCTTTCAGCATTTACCCCTATATTTGACTCTGGGTTTTTATTACTAAGATCAATTAGACTTTGTGCTACACCTCATGATAGTGGATGGAAAGTCTATTTCAAGGGTCATCCACATCTGATGACATAGGATACTCAGATCACTTTCAGACAGGGTAAAAACAGCATCACAGTAGGTTAGTCTCTAATCAGAAGGCCCAAATCCCTCATCTTACGAACAGACAAAGATCTCAATTGCTCTGACACAGCAGACCAAGGAAGAGGTCTTTGGAATTCTGACTGTGGCATTTTCAGATGGCAGCACGTCACTGTCTGTGGGTACCAATCATATAAAATCTGCCCAGTGCAGTAAAGAGCAGCAGGTACTTCACACTCTCCTGGGAACTGATTAGAGGACTCCCCAGAATTTGGGTAAATCTACTAGGACTAAAATTTATACTAACATTTATTCATTTACTTATTTTTCTGTTTTTTTTTTTTAAGACGGTCTCTCTAGATAGACCAATGCAGTCTTAACTTATAGCAATCTGCCCACCTGATCCCCAGTGCTGGGATTACAGGTTTCTGTCATTTGGTCTGGACACAAACACACGTCTAAGTTCAGACATCAAAAGGCAAGTCACACTATGATTACTTTTCAAGCCTGATTTATTAAATTTTCTCTTCCCAATCTAGTTAGCCATCCAAAATTTCATTATTTAGGATTGTTTCTGATTGAGTGGATAGTTGTATTTTTTTCAAAGAAAAATATGCTTTTTAAAATTTACAGTTCATTCTTGTCATTTCCAATCTCTGGTTGAAATTATTTATAGTAACACTAAGTCATGATCACAGCTGTCCAAACAAGTTACCTGGGAGGCAGTGCACAGTGAACTGGGCTGGGCTGAGAAAGAGTCTTGAAGGGGAAGAGGGAATTCTGTTTGTTTGCTGTGGTCAACATAGTTGTTACTAGCTACCCACTCACAAAAGTGACCAGCCAACCTCCATCTCACTCAGGGAAAGATTTGTGTTTAATGTTTTAAAAACAGCCTCATGGGAGAGAGATTGGAGAACTAGAAACAACAAAAGCTCACCAAAATTTACTTGAGAAAAGTCATAATGAAACGTAATCATTTGTTACAGTAATAAAAATAACGTAAAAAGTATGGCATTCTGCCAGGCACACCATTAGTCCCAGCACTTTGGAAGCAGACACAGGTGGATCTCAAGTGAGTTTGAGGCCAGCCTGGTCTACAAAGCAAGTTCTAGGGCAGCCAAGACTGTTCTACAGAGAAACCCTGTCTCAGAAAACAAAAACAAAAACAAAGATATTCTTTTCTTCACCAAAGGTATCCCAGATTTCTAGCTACTCATTGTGTGTCTTAGGGTTTCTATGGCTGGGATTAAACACCATGACCGAATGCACCTTGAAGAAGAAGGGTTTATTCCATCTTACACTTCCCAGTAATAGTCCAGCACTCGGAAGACAAGGACAGGAACTCAAGGCAGGAACTGAAACAGAGGTCATGGAGCAATACTGCTTACTGGCTTGCTCTCCATGGTTTCCTCAGCCTGTTTTCCTATACAACTGCACTGTCTCCCATGGGCTGGGCCCTCCCATATCTATTATTAATCAAAAAAATCTACAGAGCTGCCTAGAGGCAGGCAGTCTCTCCGTCCCTTTCCCAAATGACTCTAGGGTGTCACGCTGACCAAACAGCAAGGGCACTACAGAGCCTGCCTGTGGGGCTAATCTAGTGATCTGTCATTACAGGCAAGAGCACCACACCAGGTTCTAAAGCATAGGTCATTTTGCTCTTACAGTTTGGAGTCACAAAAGTCACCACTCCTTCACCCTTTAGATATGATTAATATTTGTAACGTCACCGTCTGTCCAGAGTATTTTAAAAACAGAATAAATCTGTCAGCAACTCTGTGCAAATAATAAAAAGGAGGCTGTGCTGATAGCACTCAATGGTCATAAGCAAACAACAAAATGAAAATCTCTTCTGAAGAATACTGTGCAGAAAGTTCTCAGGTTCTACCTACCACTCAGCTATGTCCTGAACTACTGCTTTTAAAGCTTTGAAGAGTTTTAGTATTTAAAACATAATCTTTATTATTCAAATCTTTTATGTTTTGAATAATAACATAAAGTATATTAAAATACTCTGGGAGCAGTGAGATAGCTCAGCAGGTAAAGGTGGTTAGTGTGTGCAAGCCTGGAGAACTGAGTTCAATTCTGAGAACCTACATAAAGGAGTTCTACACACATATGCACTCGTATACACACCCCCACTTCCACCCCCCCACACACAAATAATTAATAAAAAAAAATTAGGGGCTAGAGAGATGGTTCAGTGGCCAAGAGCATATAATACTCTTGCAGAGTTTCTCGAACCAATGTGGTACAGCCTGAAACTCCTTTAAGTCTTTAATTCCTGCTGTAAGGGGATCCAACGCCTGGTTCTGGCCTCTTAGAGCACCTGCATACACACACTGCACAAACCCACACAGCAATACATTAATAATAATAATAATAACTTTTAAAAATTAAAAATAAAATACCCTGTGATGGAATGAGACAAGGGGACAATTTAAACTAAGAATGATAAAACAGAAGCCAGAGAAATGCATTAGTGGGCAAACTTGCTGCCAGGCCACATGGTCTGAGAGTTCAATTCCCGAAACTCACGTGGAAAGAGAGAACGAACTCTCAGAAGCTGAACTTTGTTCTTCACTCACACACACAAACACACACTGGGGAGGGGGTGGGGAGACTGCTTTCAATTTAGAAAGGAATTTCAAAAGTTAGAGAACTGAGAGTAAAATCTACTTTGGGCAAACAAAGGCTGACCACAATTTCATAGCCTCCTGGAATAAAATAATAAATAGTAAGTTATACCATTATGAAGTAATAAACAGGAGCTGTAGGATGCCTTAGTGAGTAAAGGCATTGGCTGCTTCAGCCTAAGTTCAATTCCCAGAACGCACATGGTGAAAGGAGAGATGATGTAAGTTGTCCTTTGACCTACACATACCTTCATGGCACACATGCACTGAAACCCACACACAAAATAAAAAATTTAAGACAAAATAATTAAAAATAAATAATTTGGCCAGGTGTGGTAGCCCATGACTAATTTCAGTACCCAGGAGGCAGGTAGCTCTGAGTCTGAGGTCAGCCTGGCCTACACAGCTGTTCTACACAAGTTCTACACAAGTTCTACAACAGCCAGGGGCCAGGGTAATAAAAAGGGAGACCTTGTCTTAAAAAAAAAAAACAAAAATAACACAACAACAAAAGATAATAAAAGCTTCTATAATAAGAAAAAGAAAAAGTTGGCTGAAACAAATGCATTGGAAAATACATTCTTGGATAACAAAATGTAGTGTTAAAACAGAATTAGAACCAAGCTCCTCCAACTGAAACAAGTTTTGATCTTAACAGAGAAACAGAAATCTCCCTCCCTTTTCCAGAGGCCTAAACTCTTTTGCATGTTAATTTTTTGCTTTTTGGGTTTTTAGTTTATATTTTTTTATTTTTCATGACAGATGATACTGGAAAGTGAAATTCCTTGTGACTTCAGAGGAGAACCAAAGACAGCCTGGTTTATGTAATAAAAATAAGTCAGAGCTGAAATAGCTGCAAAGGTACAGGAAGTGGCACTCAGATGCTGGTGTAACCAGCAGCTGTAGCTGGACTTAAGGTCTGCTCAACAGGAGGAAAATCATTCCTGGCACTGGAAACCTAGCCACCTTTCTGGGGCTAGTGATGCCATAGATCTTAGAGGATAATCTAGTACTGCCACTCTGCAAAACCAGCATATCTCACTACATTTAAATCCTACCCTTATACCTACAAACAAGTAAGCCCCCATGCCTCGTCAAAGAAGCTTCTCTTTACAGCAAATGAAAGCAACACAGAAAACCATACTGGACACAATGCAGAGATCAACAATCACTGGGAGCCCAGGCCCACTGGATACATCAACGCAGTTCCTGCATGTAGGCACAGTTCCTGCATCTAGGTGTAGGGAACAACATATTGGGCAGGGAGGTTTGTTACAAGGATCAAAATACCAGTAAATCTGCTGTGAAACAATGTCTCCTAGAAATGGCTACATAAACAAGATCTGGACAAAGGTACTATCAATAGATATGCTATTGGAAGGGAGAAAATTCCACAGGGTCCCACCCCAGACCAAAAACTATACACAACTAAGGACTGCTGGAGAGGAAGAATTAGCC